GGGCAGCGCGGCGCTGGCCGAGCTGCGCCTGCTGGCCGGCGTGCTGCGGCGGGCGCAGTGCCTGCGCCGCTGCAAGCAGGGCCTGCCCGCCTTCCGCCAGGCGCAGCCCACCCGCGAGCTCCTCGACGACTTCCAGCGCCGCGAGCCCTACAAGTACCTGCAGTTCGCCTACTTCAAGGTACGGCGCCCTTCCTCCGTCCCTRTCCTCCTCCCGGCCTCTTCCTCGTGCCCCTGGCTGTCGTGCTCAGCCCTGGCCCTGCCTCACCACGTCAGGGCAGCCAGTCCGGGAGGCAAGCGAGGCTGCTCCTGCGTCCYGGAGGCGTCGCAGCAGGGACACGTGCATGGCATGGCCCGGCACGCTGCCATGTGTGCCCCGTGGGGATGCTTGAGAAACGCCCCATCCTGCCTGTTGGCAGCCCGGCCCTCACAGCAGGTTATCCGAGGCCTTTCAGTTCCCTGCCAYCTCTTCCAGACTGCTTTGGTCTCCAGCACCTATCTGCCCCGCTCCGCTTCTCCTGCTTGCCTTGCTCTGCCCTTTCCCAGCTGGGTCTCCCTTCTTGCTCCCGGGGTGCCGGTCCCGTGCACCTTCAGCTGCCCGGCAAATCTTTCTCTTCCTTCCACTCAACTGTGCATGACCTGCCATGGACCAGCTGGTGCTTTGTCTTTCCCCTTACTTGCCTCTGTGGTGCCAGCATGAACTTTCTTCACTTACCCAGCAAATTGCCTGAATCAGCATCCCATTCTTTCCTAATCCCCAGCCACCAGTTCCTGCACTAGCTGTGCAGTTCATACCCCAGGCCTCCTTACCTTCCCATCTGTCTTAATTTCTCCTAACTGCTCTTCAGCCCCTGTTCAGACTCACTGCTGAGCTCCACAGCTTCCTCTCCCTCAGCTTGTCCAACCTCCTCACTTGCTCTCTTCTTTTCCAGTTCTTTCAAGTACAGAGTTAAAGTCAGCTCCTGAAGTATGACAGTCACACTAGCTGGAATAGTGTTTACTTTTTGCTCTAAGGTCAGTTAAGACTGGGACATCTCTTTTACCAGATTTCATCACGTATTTCTTGCTTCTCATCCTCCTGCCCAGGATCCAGTTCTGTTTTCTCACTCCTTTCTCATTTTSCTCTTTTATCACTCTCTAAATGATGGCCCATCCCTCACTCCATCCCTCAGCTACTACAGTGGCTTCCATTTCAAATAAATGGGACATCAGGAGGCTTGGGGAGGGTCTCTGAGACTATACTGCAAAACCTACCCAAAGCCTCTGCACAGAGGTTAGAGAACAGACCRTATTAATCAAGGACATTTCTTCTGAGTAATGGAATGGGCAGTCCCTCTCCTACTTCTGAGAGCAATACGAGTACCAAGATGACATCAACCCAAATGTTTCCATTTATTACTGCACTTATTTTACAATTAGCACAATTAATGAATGCAGAAGAGACATTGGAGAAATCCCTTGTCCCCCGTGTTTGGGCCCGGTGTTTGCTCACGTTTGCAGCAGAGTTGTGAGGTGCAGTTTGCCGTTTCTCTTTCCAAATCCCCGTTGCTGAGCTCCCACCTCTCGCTTGGAGAGTTCTGAATGGGTTCAGCACACTCGGGATTTTGCACGGACACCCACTGCTATGTACAGAGGGATTTTCCCRGCTAGTGGTTTGCTGAAGAAGGAATGTCTTTTGTGTTTTCTTTTTTCCATAACATCATTTACAATGTGGGAAAAAGGGGATGGGAAAGGGGGTGTTGTATGTAATTTTTTTAGAGTGACTATATTTATTCAGGTGTGTTCAACAGTGAAAGTTTGCCACGTCTTAGGTCCTGGGAGCAGATGTTCCTGTGCTGCGGCGTGCTCCTCCGGAGGGCTGTCCTTCCCAAGGAAGGCTGCTGAGTTTACTTAGGAATGTGTTTCTACACATTTGTTTTTTCTTTCTTTTTAATGCTGAAAGTTGAAACCGAGTATAAATCACAGACTAAGCAAAAATGTAACACCCGTCAACCTTCCAGCAAATAACATTAAAGCATCAGGCACAGGAGAAATTAGGCATTTTGACGAAAGTGCAGCTGAGGTTTGTGCTTAACTCCAGCCCTTCCGAGGCTGCCTGGAAGGGCCTGGTTTTGGGACCGCCGGGAATTGCCGCTGGCGCCGCTCCAGCGCCCTGGCGCTTAGCGCAGCACAGCAGCAAGAGCACATGTGGGGGCTGAAATGGGTCTGTGGTGTGGGAGACTCTCAGAATTTTTCCTGAAATGAAAGAGTGGTTTTTATGGATGCAAATGGAGGAGCGCGTGCGCACTCATGCCTGTCATGCTGGCTCATGGCTTTGTGTGTACTTTTTCCATAAGCTGTTTCAGCTGCCAGGTGAAACTCTGTAGTGTCCATGCATAGATACACACTCTGGAAATGTTGGCTCAGATCTTTTCTAACGAGAGAAAAGGTTTTAATACTTGACAGATACTTAAAAACTTTTTCCTTCTCTCTACATAAATTTATGCAGTATATATGTATATTTATAGGCATACAAATGCTATAAATACACATAATGTATTTGACACATTTTTGTGAAATACACATTTTGTGCAATTYGACACATACCTGCTTGTAAATGAGGAACACATACTTAAGAAAGTATCTCTAATGAAGTTTAAAGTTTGCAATGCGGTTAGCTTAAAAATGTGCAATAACTGCCGTTTATAAGTTCAAAACATCGTTAAGAAGATACATTGTGATATTCTCCCCTATTCTGCTATGCCAATAAGCTATGGAATGGCACAAAATGCCACRAAAGCACGATGATCCCTTCCCAGTATCGATGGGTTAACATCAGCAATTGCTGTGTGGTTTATCCTGCACAGAAGCKACAGGATAACGCTGTGCCCTGACACCTTTATCAGCACTGGAGTCAGGAGAGGAAAAAAGTGGGGTTTTCTTGTTTTATTTTTTTACAGGATTAATAGAGTTTTAAAATGAAAAGCAGAAGGAAATGTTCAGAGTGGTGTGGTGTATGTAGCTGTAATACTGAGAGGCATATGATCAGATTTACAGTGCTATGTATCCACCAGGACTCTGGTTTCAGYAGAGGTATGGGAAAACAGAGACTGCAGGAAAAGTCATTGACAAACACTGGGAAACCCTGAGGCAACTTTTTCAATTAACCATTTTTTTTTTCCTCTTCCTTCCTCCTCCTCTCTCTACCTCCAATCCATGTTTAGGCTAACAACCTTCCAAAAGCTATTGCAGCAGCTCACACATTTCTTCTGAAGCATCCAGATGATGAAATGATGCAGAGAAATATGGCCTACTATAAGACTATGCCTGATGCTGAGGAGCATATTAAGGACTTGGAAACAAAGCCKTATGAGGTATGCTTTTTATCCATATCTGGTCTTTGGGAATTTCTTAATTACTTGTCTTGCAGTGAGATTCAGGGATCTCATTTGTTTACATCTTCTCAGGCCTTACTCTGCTTTTCTTCTTGTTTTTCTCAGAGTCACCTTTCTTCTGCCTTCTTCATGCACTCAGTATTTCTCACCCCTTGTGCTTTTCACTGCTCTATAAGTCTCAGCAAATCATATCTAGCTAAGGAGGCCAGAATGGGGTTATTCAAATGTGTGAGGGCTGCAGCAGCCCAGCTTAAAATATTTAAAATATTTAGTGTTCAGACTGCATGGAAAATCTTCATCAAAATCTTTGCTTTAGAATCACACAGTTACCTCTGTCTGGCAGATTTTTTTCTCCCATTAATCTGAAATGGAATTATATACCCTACCAGTAAATATGTGGTAAAACTCTTTAATGATCTCTGTTGTCCTCATATAAACCAAGTAACAGCTTATATAGTAATTCAGAAATACAGTTCTGAAATTCACTCTGTGTTTGAATTCCCAGATTCAAAGGGAAAGACATTTAGTACTCGAGGTACCGGCATTTGCACACAGCTTTTCACAGATAACTTCCCACTTGCTGACATTGCTGCCCATTTTTCAGAATCTCTTTGTGAGGGCTGTGAGAGCCTACAATGGTGACAACTGGAGAACGTCCATCTCGGACATGGAGCTGGCCCTTCCGGAATTCTTCAAGGCCTATGATGACTGCACAGCAGCCTGTGAAGGTTCCCGAGAGATCAAGGATTTTAAGGAGTTCTATCTCTCCATTGCAGGTGAGAGGGTAGGAAATGGCAAGAAAAAAAAAAATGTGCTGAAAGTGCATTTCAGTTTATCCTTCGGTTGAGTTGTCAGGACCCCCTGCTCAGTTTGGGTGAATATGAATGTATTAGAACAACTAAAAACTCATTGAATTCTGGCTTACCTTTTTTTTTTTTTTTTTTAATGTGATATATATGAGGAGAATGTCAGAACAAAAGATTAAATGGAAGTTGATGAGTGTCAAAATAAAATGGATATATAAATAGTAACAACTATTCCATCCAGCTGGCAGTACTTATCCAGTCAAATCTCTTGACTATAATTTCGTTATCAATTTGAAGCTCAGTATATAGCTTGCCTGCCAAAAAAAGTGTCTGATTTTAGCAGCACTGGTGATAATATCTCCTTTCTGGTAAATAAGACAAATTTCTGTTGCTCCTTTTTTATCTGTTGTGCAGTACAGTTTTGCTCACAGATATGTAACTTCAGAAAATTTGTTGCTTTGCAAAGGAAAATGGATATCACCTTTCATGATTGTTGTCAAATGGCACATGTGCATTTCCCATGCTTTTCAGTAGCAAAAGAAACAGGTTATTTTCTCAAAGCTCTGGACTCAGTGTTGTTTGCAGTATTTGTGTAGAGAATGCAGTTTTATTTTTCAGTACAGTTTAAAGCATGAAAAATGCAACAGAATTTCTGCATTGACAAGAGCAAAACAAACCTAAGGTTTTGTCCTAAGGAGGATGAACTTTTGTGAAATAAGTCAATATAAGAGCAGCTCTTCAATACCTCAGTGTGCAGCCTGTGTCCACCTATGTAGCTAACACGGAATGACCACTGCAAGCTATTCCCCAAGCCGTGCTTTATTGTAGGCAAAGCAGACACCAGAAGAGGGGTGGAGGTCACATCACAGGCAGGAAAGCATGAACACAACTTTCTCCMTAAGCAGCCCAGAGTGCCACCATCCGGATAATTCCCAAGTTCCTGTAAAGAATATCCATGGTTCCTCTGCTGTGTCCATGCCCAACTGTGCTTGGTGCTTGCCATCACCCTTCCTCATCTGGCTTGGAATGAAAGGACAATTCCAGCAGTAATGGTGGGAAGATGTGGCAGTACCACATGATGCCCTCAGGGCCATATGTATTTTAAATACTTTACCCTCATCTGTGAGGTAAGAAAATTCTAATTTACTTGCAGTGATAAAAAGCTTCAGTGCTAGCTGGAAGGACACACTACTGTGTGTGGAGATTCCACTCCTCTTGTGAAATCCTGGCAATTTCCTTTAACCAAACACTCAATTCCTTCAATGTTCGTCAAGCCAGGAGTTGTCAGAGATAAAAACAGGGGAAGGAGCCTTTGTTCTTCCACTGCTTTTGCAGTGGTGCAAAAACTTAGTGCAAAACCTTAGTATAACTTGCTTAACCTTCCACATGTGGCAAATAGGGAAACCAAGGCTTTAATGCTACTCATCCTGGAAGCTCTTAGAAGCTGTCCAATGGAAGATTTTCTAGGAATGTATTTTCTTGAAGGTAAGATCACCTGTCCTATTATACCAAGCTTTTGTAGGCTGGTAAGTGTGTGAGCTTGAGGTTCAAAGCTTTCTGTTGAGAGTTGCTCCATATTGAGCAGCATATTCATGTCTGTGTCCCCCTTCAAAAAACATAAACTGGAACAAATGCTGCCATTTCTGGAGGGTTACTTTGCAACCAACCTGTGTTATTCTCTGTGGGAGTGTTGTACTCAGCAGTGTGTAGCCCTTGCTTATGTAATAGTTTAATGAAATTACAGAGGCATTAAACAAACATTAAGAAATAGCCCTACTAAGTTCACATGAAATAATGCAGTACTCCATAACACTTATATATAAAAACCTACGATGTGWACGGCCTGTAGGTGTCAGTGAAGCTTAACTATTAGTTCTCACAACTTGGATGTGTTTGAAATCCAAACCCTAATGACTTTTACAGAAGGGCTGAGCAGCAGCACTTGATTTGTACTGCAGATGGAACTGTAGACGTTCAGTACTTCCAAGCAGCTGCCTCAGCTGCATAGGACCCAGGAGGGCTTTTTAAGGCCGAATTTTAATGTGTAGCTGGTGGGAGGGAATATAATAATACATTGTGTGCTCTATCCATTTCCTGTGTTGTTATTTTCTTCCTTCTAGATCATTATATTGAAGTCCTTGGATGCAAAGTTCAGTGTGAGAGTAATCTGACCCCTATTATAGGCGGCTTTGTTGTCGAGAAATTTGTGGCAACCATGTACCATTACTTACAGTTTGCTTATTATAAATGTAAGTAGTGATTTTATGTGCTTAAATAACATTTGGATAAGGTGTGGAAGTTTCCTTGAGAGTCTTTTCTCTCTWGTTATAATGCTTTGCAGTGTAAATAGTAGCCTTCAAAATCTGTATCTTAACCTTTCCTGGGACTTTCATGAGATACCTGGGGTCTTTTTCCTGTTATATAGCTGCAGTTAGCAGACATGTGAGATAAACTTAGATATTCCTTTCTTGCTCATAAATTGTCAATGACAAATTAAATTGTTGAATATGGTCCCATAAAAGCTGGATTCTGCCCAGGCCAAGCCCCTCCATTTTCAGATGTGTTTGTGACTGGTCTCCACTTGCTTAGAAAAATGGTTGCTGCATAAGTGTGATAAGATGTATCACATTGCCCTTCATTCTTTATGAGAGCCACTGCAAGAACAAGTTACTTATCCCTTTCAGAGCTTCATATAACTGGTGAAATTTCGTCATGTGTATTTTAGATGTTGAAATGAGCTCTTCTGGCATTTTGAAGTAGTTCATTATATGACACCCTAGGGTAAACATTATCAGCCACTTCCCACTCACTGGAATACACCCATGCAATAACACCGGCTCATTTTATAGACCTACGTAGTGACACTGTTACCCAAAAAATAAAAAACACCGTAATGGTCAAGGATTTAGATCCACATGGTCAGTAAACAGCTAAATGTAGAGTTCCAACATAGCTTCCATATCATTCAGTTAGAAAGAAAGAAAGAAAAAATGTCATTTCAAGGCAACACCTTCAACACAGCAGCAGTCATTAAATGAATACTCATTTCTTGATTTACTAGAGAGATTTTTTTTCCATAGAGGAACTCATGAGATTTTCTCACAGCATTGCCTGTTTTCCTAGTGGGTTCTTGTAAKCACATTAGAATGGAGGCACATGGGACCAGATGGGTTTTGAAGAAAGAGGGGACCACTTAACCAAAATGATAGTGTGCTGATGCACAGTGTTTGCACATTTGATAGATCAAACATTCAGTGAATTCTGTGGGAAGATACCTGTACTGTGAAGAACACATATTGCCCTTGCTGCCATTCCTACAGGCTTGTAAGCAATCCTCACTTGCAAATCTATGGCCTTTCATGGTGCAGAACAGAAAAATAGTGTGTTCTTTCTGGGAAGCAGTTGCTTGTTTGTTTTTTTAGTAAAGTTGGTAGGGAGGTGCAGAATTGGCCCTGTTTCCATCAGAGTTTTTCTGGGCAAAAGGAATTCTGCCCATCTTATTCATTTACCTTGTCTGTTTCTTTTTGTTTGTTTGTTTCCGCTTTTATTCATTAGTGAATGACATGAAGAATGCAGCCTCTTGTGCTGCTAGTTACCTTCTGTTTGACCAAAAAGATGAAGTAATGAAACAGAACATGGTCTATTATCAATACCATAAGGACAAATGGGGACTAAAGGAAGAAGATTTTCAGCCCAGATCGGTAGGTAAATGATTCAAAATGCCTTCTGAGCACATTCCCTGGAAGCCAGTGAGTTAGGAGTTGTAAAAAAAATGGAAGTTATCTAGTGGTTCTGAAGTTAAAAACAACTGTTTTATTAAAACCATACAGAAAGTGTGCTCAGAAATATACTGTGTAATGTTATTATAGTTTTTATGCTGAAATATGCTGCAATATAATGAGTAAACTCTCGCTGACCCTTGTCTACCACACAGGTATGTTTGTGTCCTTATCGACTCAGATGAGTAAAATAGCTGGTCACTGCAATCTCTTGATCAAAAGTTCACTCCCATCACTCCTAATATCAATCACTTGTTATTTGCCAAGATGCAGTTRCTTGCCTATTTGTTATTTCAGGTTCTGCTGCTGTTAGAATGCTCCTGGATAGGATAACCCCAGCTGAATCCCCTTTCCACTTACTCAATTTAGAACCAAGTTGTGTGGCCATATTACATCCAATTATCTAAGTTAGAATAGTCCTTTGAGGACTGCACGTTGCCTCCTCTCAGGCCAGCCATCTCAAATCAAAGATACTGCTCCATTTGAGTGCTTTTTGCTTGTGGACAGTTGTTGACTTACGTGCAGGACTCGCCGAATCTGCACGCTGGAAATGCAGATCTGCCTCAGTGGCAGAACGCAATGAAAATTCATTTGGTACTTTCAGGCAGTAGTAGGGGGGCTGCACCTGCATGGGAACAGGAGCACTCACTCGGATGCCACTGCTCTTCAGAGTAAAACTGCACTTTGTAGCCCTACTGGAGACAATGCTTGACCTTGGTGAGAAGGAGGCGTTTAGCATCAGTATAAAATAGCAACCCACAAGCAGATTTGGCACACGTGTGCAGGAAAGACAGAACACAGTCCCTACACATTAACTCTCAGTGTTTCATTGATAACTTCTCATTATTTGGGGATTACAGATAATTTAATTYTTAAATATGAAATATTAAATGCACACATCTGTATTTTCTTGTACTTTGATYCTTCTAAATAGGAACAGATGTTGCTTGCTGTCCTAGTCACCACATAAAGTGTAATGGCTCTCACTTAAATTCAGAAAGTGGTAGAGAGAGTGACAGCAGCCTTTGGTTCTGACACCAGGAGTGTCCTTGTGAAAGAGGAAGAGTTTCCTGGTTTTAGCCCTGRAAGAGTTAAATGAGATAAGCAAAGTAGATAGGCAGGGCTCACAAACAGAGGGGTGTCTGACTCCCAGTTAAACTGCGCTGCCCAGACCAACCTGATGAAGAGAGTGAGCTGGGATGACCATGCAGAATAGTCCTGCCCCAGGCTCAGGCCGGAAAAGTGAATCAGAGTCATGCAAAATAGCTCAGCCCTCTCTTTTCCCAGACCTGCCCGCTGCTGTACAGCAGGACACAGGGATACAGAGGCTGCCTCACCTCCCAGGCCCGCTGGAATGTGGGCACCGGCGCCTGCTGAGCTCTCGCAGCCTCATTCCTTTTTTTTCTCATGCTGGCCAGGGCTTTGAAACATGAGAAARAGGAGAGTGCTTTGTTCTTCTCACACCACTGGTGCTTACGGTCAGAAGRATCCACAGAAGACGCTGGATAAACTGCTTGCTGTTCTGCTGTCTCCTTTCCCAAATGTTTTGACCTTCTATCCTCAGGATCTACCTTCTACCAAGTCTGGATCTGATTTCACTGGAATTGTTTCAAACACATGTGATGACACTCCTCTCTCTTGTGCTGTAAAATAACACAGCAATTTGTTTGTTTGTTTGTTTTATAGGATGCAGTTCGATACCACAACATAACCACGCTCCAGTTGGAAATGTATGAATTTGCAAAACAGAATTTGATGGATGATGATGAGGTGAGTTTTCTAAAGAAAAAGTTGTAATCAAAAAACCTAGCAGTCATATTAAAGTGAAGACAATTATATACAGGTTGAATTATGGACACATCTAATATGGAAAATTTCCTTGTAGTCTTGACCAGTTTATCTTTTTTTTTTTTTTTTTAAATTTATGTAAAATCAATAGAAGCAAATGCACAGATCTTTAGATCACTCATGTAACACTTAAAAGAATGCAAGACACTATTACTATTAACACAACAGTAAATATAGCCTGTTAAGACAAAAAAAAAACCCCACTTTGCAAGCTGCAACACCAGGGGGCACAAAAGTAATGTGTGTATGTATCGCTACATACAAATCAAACTTCTTTTGTTTTCATCTGCTCAAAAAAATCCCCTAGTTTAAACCAGATTTAAAAATCTGTGTAATTTTGTCTACAAGTAACCACCTAAATTATAAGTTTTATCAAAGGGAAGGCCTGTTATCTGTTATTTCTTTCTGCAGAGCTACATTTTGGTCACTCAGTCTTGCTTTTTAACTACTGGAATTCATGGCCAAATGGCATATAATGACTACTATTAGACGTGAAATATGTAATGTGGGTTTTCTGTGCAGGAAAAATAGTTAAACTGTTGAAAGGGTATTTCTTTGTCCTCCATAGTGGAAATTAAAGTATAAATCTTGGGGGCCTTGGGTTGTTTTTTGTTTTGTTTTCAGAACCTTTCATTTAAAGATTTAAGAAATCTTCAGATGTGGGAATAGTTCACTCCTGGTGTTGACAACAAGCTCTGCTGAATTGCAGTGTAGRGCACTATACTTGTAACAGGCATTGCTGAGATGGTTTTAGTTATAACAGAAAAGAGAAAGATGTTTTATGCTACAAAATGAAATCACCTTTGCAGCGTTTACATTATCCAGGACCGAGGGAAAGCGGGTATTTTATAATGGAGAAATAKTAATATGTCTGTGCAGCTTTCCAGTATGTCAGTGACCTGAAAACAACTCCATACATAAAATTCCATTGTGAGATTACCAGACGTTAGGAAGGTTGAGARGTCTTTCCATTGTGTTAAAACTTTGTGCAAGACAGTTTAATGGGCTGATTATAAAAGTTGTTTAATGAGGACTAGTCTTTTTTGGCTTCTAACGGTTTGTGTAAATGCTTGCACACTTTTTTATATTCCCCAGTTGATTTGTGTAAACACTATGCTTTATTCATAGTGTTTTCTTATGTTAGGCATAAACTTAATTTATGTTTTTTTTTCTTTCTTTCACATCTGCTCCTATGAAACAAAGGGAGGAGTAATTAAGGAAGGAGAGAAGCAGTGCCCTGTAAGGGCCTTCCCCATGTGTTGTTATAAGAGATTATGGAAACAATCTTTAGACTCAAGCTCTATATGTAGAATAAACAAGTGTTCGTGTGTTCGCCACCATTCCAGTAGCCCATTTCACAAGTTCAGCTGCAAATGACCTCAGTCTCTGCAGGAGGAAGCAAGTGGAAAGTAAGATTAAACTTGGAGGGAAGTGTCAGAGAAGCAGCATTACAGTGGATAACATATGTGAGCTAAACAACCAAAATAACTGGGTTCACATATATGTATAGCTCCCACTATCATTCTACTAGAAAAGTTTCTGTTCTCTGGCAGGGAAAGGCTTCTGTGTCCCCACTTACCAGGGCTGAAGAACCTGGGAGGGATGGAGGCAATCCATGATTCTGGCTTGGCTCTTTGCTAGGGACCTCATAAATCCCTGGCTAGCAGAACTTCTCCTTGGCTGTAGGAGCCTTCCAAGGTGTTCAGACAGGGCAGGAAAAGCACCAAGATAAAACAGTTACCTTGCAGTTTCTGCTGTATGGGCAGGACCTGCTAGTAGAAGTGGTTTTTTTTTTTAATATTTCTCCTGGCAGGAATAGAAAAATTTATTCTATTGGAATGTAGAAAACTGATGAAAAACCCAGATAAGGTGTTACAGTAAAAGCTTTATTAAAAATTGTTAAAGATGGAGGCAACCTCTTTTTTAGTGCACTGTTTATTTAAACCATGTGCTTCTTGGGCCACAGATCATGGCATCTGTGAGTTTTTGTGGTCCCTGTTTGCTGTCTGTGTAGTTGCTTGGGGCCAAACATCCTATTATATAATCTAAGCACAAAAATCATTTTCATTCCTTGAGTGAACTGTGGCAAAGCAAAAGGATTGGTGTGGCAGATCTCTTCCTAGGTGAATATGTCCTCATTCCTGAATGGTCCCACTCACTTTGTTTACAATTTTCAGCATTCCCGTGACTCACATCATCCGTGTGTCTTTTAAATCCCATTATCAAAGCAAGTGAGAACATGGGGCTTCTTCCAGTAATACATGGAATATGTAGTAATGATTTTTGCATATGTCACTACAAGAAATACAGTCTTGTTCGCATTACTTTATTAATGTTTTTCCATAAGGAAATGAGAAACTTTAGTTCAAACATTCAGCATAGTAGAGGTGACGGAGAATATTAGTGCCAACTTGCTACAAATTGCTTTTTCTTAAAAGTAATTATTATTATATATCCTAGTAGAATTTTCCACAGTGAAGTTAAAAGAACATTACATATGTTGTCATCTTAGCTAGCCATGGATAATCATGTGCCTTGATTTCACTTCAGATATGTTACACATAAAGGCTTTAATAGATATAACTTCATGGGTTTAAATAGCAAAATTAAATGCAGTTAGAAGCAAAGTATTAAGTTAGTGCAGATATAACTTCAGTACTACACTAATTATATGAGACAAGTTTCTGGCCCTAAATTCACTGTTCTTGAAGATTTTTTTTCAAGGATAGCTTTACTTAGCTGTTCTAAAATGCAGACGAACCACAAGTATTTGGCTGTGATGATGCTACAATGTGAATTTTCCTTCAGTGCTTAATCAGTCGGTGAAAAACTGTTGGCAGCTTTGACCCTCTTTTTGTGTTTTTGTTTTGTTTTGTTTTTTGAATCTTGCTTTTTTTTAATTTGTATACAATGCGTGTGTTCATCTATATAAAAGCTGAGATTTAAATGCTTCATTCCTGAGTGTGGTGCAAAAGAGAATACGTGCTAAACTAATGTGGAAAGAGAAGATACGAAATAGCATCAAGACATGATGGCCCAGCAGATCACTGATAGTAAATAACAATCTAAATTCAGTGTATTTTTTTTGTTCAGAATTGCTAACAACATATTTTCAGCTTTATTAGCTCACTTTTTTACGTATGTTCCAATGATTTACACAAACTCATTTCTGACTGCAAGTTGTAAAAGCAGACCTATAAACGCTGTCCTGGCAATGACCTCAGACCAATACAGCTACCTAGCACCACTACATTGAAAACAACTGTTGACGACTGTTTAGGAGMTAGTTGTCAGTGTTAGGGTTTCTGTTCAAAGCAGGAAAAAAAAAGAGTCCTTTTTATCATCATTTCCTAGTGGAGATACTGCCCATGTGGCTGGCTCTCTTCAGAAGCGTCCGTGCTTTTCCCACTTGCTTTTTTGCCACCATCCTTACGTAGTGGTCAAAACTGTTGGTCCTTCCCTATAATCCACTTGCCACCACCAATGGCAGGATGTCTCTGAGTTGTAGATACTAAGAAGTATCTACAACTTCCAAGAAATTGGAAGATTTTTGCTTGTTCAGATTTTCTTAACCTTCAATGGACAGCATAAAGCAGTAAGAGAGCAGAAGGAGAGTTTAAAAACAAAGCTACTTGAAGGCTTCCCATTTCAGTGCAATGGGAGCAATACTTAAGTTTCTCTGAAATGGACTGACTCATGCTTTAGAGGCATTACAAAAATGTTAAGAGGAAAGCATGTTTATTAGACTACTGTAAAATGTGGTTGTAATCACTGCAATATATTGTGAACTCCCATGATGTCTGGGAAAATAGTTTATATTTTTAGAATATACAATATAAAAAGAAATGGAAAAATATTAGAGAAAAGCAATTTGCCATACATGTAAAGAACAACTGAGCTTTCCTTAATGTTGGAAAGAAAAAAAAAAAAAAAAAGACCTAAAAGCATGTGACAGGAGGGCACACTGCAGACTAAGTATCTGAAAAATAAACAAGGTAACGGCCAAATAGTTTTTCTCCACAAAGAACTGAGGGATTTTTTTCCTTGCTAGAATGTGAAGAATGTCAAGCCTGGTCTTTACTGTTCATGAAGGATTCTAGGATGGCTTTGAGGTAGTTACAGTGAATTCTCATATTCTCATTGAAATTTAGATCCAGGAACTTCTCCGTCATTGAAGGCTGAATAAACCTTTTGGCCATCATATCTGAGCCACTCATTGACACAAATCTTATTGTTATCCTAAAATAATAGCCCTTCAAACTATCACTGCTCAGTGGACTGTGTGGTTTTGGTTTGTGGCCTGTATCATGCCTGCAGAGGACATGTTCTCCACAGTGAGTCATATAAAACGTTGTCATGTCAAACATTTTGTCCTCTTTCATGCTAAATGGCTATTAGTCCTTGAAGCTAGATACAAATTAGAAAATTAGTGTTTTTCATGACTCTATCTCCATGTTGCCAGCCCAACTAGTTATTCAGATTTAAGGGAATCAAATTTGTTAGTGCCACTGTTGAAGAAGTTTCCAGTCATCATGATCTTCCAGCTTTGGCAAAATCTGATTTTTTGCTGTGAAGGACACCCAGGGGACATTTTACGGGACAAATATTTTCCTTTTGGGTCATAGATCATAAGGAAACAAATAATGATCCAGCCACTTCTTCTGTCTCTATGTATTGTCTGTTAAAGCTCAGTTTCTTGGATCACTCAGGATAAAGGCCTTTAATTCATTTGCTAATAATCAAGCATGTCCCTAAAAATCTTTTTCTGTAGATCTTAATTCATTGTAGAACATCATTATTAAATATTCTCTGATACTTCCCTGCGGAACAGACTGTTATACTCCAGTGCATATGGAATCCCTATACAAAATGCATCAGCAAATCTGCATGGAAAGTATGGGTTATTGCAAGAGAACTATTTT